TATCAAGCATGTCGACTCACGCGTGGCAATTCATAAAAATCAATACATAATGAGTTGAAAGAAAATGATTTATTTTCTTACTAAACCGCTTAAATTTTACATCAAAGTATGGAATTTCATACATAATTGTTAATAATTGACATAAAACTCTATTAAAGTGTAAATAAATCACGTCCATATTGATAAGCATGAGGAAATAATTTGTCAAGAGAAGAAATTTTCACACTCACTCAGTTGCTTTGCAAAACATTGAATTATATGCTGGAAATTCGAATTATAGTGTCAGGTCTTTAAAAAAATTTACAGACGACCAGCATTGCATACCCATACAGAGGAATCTATATAGGCCTCCTATATAAATAATCTCCAGATGGGCTTAAATGGGATACCCATATATATTTATGTATGAAGGCGATATAAAAGAAAATATCCATATTGACTAAAATTTATATGGGATATTATATAGGCTACCCAAACAAGTATACTTCTCATGAACTCAAAGAAGCAACCCATAAAAATCTATAAACTCCTATAAAAAACTCAAGATTGGATCGAATGGGTTATCCATTTAAATCTATATAGTCTTCTCATATAAATAATCTCCATATGGGCTTAAGTGGACTACCTATATTAATCTATATGCGATTCCGATGTAATAATATTCGTATTGGCTCAAATGGCAACCCATATAAATCCATACTGGCTGCCGATAAAAAATATCAATTTGGGCTCAAGTAGGCAACCCATAAAAATCTATATAGTCTTCCCATGTAAATTATTCCAAGTTATAAATGGGCTATTTATATATGGGCTTCCCATATAAAGATATCCATATGGGTTGAAATAGGCAAACCATAAAATTCAATATGGGCTCCCCATCTGCAAGACCAATAGATGGGGGTTAATGGGCAACCCCCAGATTGATCTGCATGGGCTGCCCATTTAGATCTGTGTGGATTTTCCATGTGTTTAGAAAGATTATCTACTTTCAGATTACCTAGTATAACGAATAAAGAATTATTAAGCATTACACAACGCGCAATAAACAACTTTTTTTATTAGAGCTTTAAGCTAGTAAACATCATTGATGTTATCTTTAAAATATTTGACAAAAACTGAATCATTTACAGTTTACTTTACAGCAATGGTTTCCACTAAACTAATGAGGAAATTCCTTTTTTAAATGCCTCTTAATTGAAAATAAAATTTTTAAAAAAAAAATCGGGCTTCGTAATTTGATTACAATTGTACTCACTTAACGTCGTGTTGAATGTCATATTTTTAGAGCCTATAGTTTACCCGCAATCCGGTATACACACACAAAGTCTTTATTTTATTATTTGTATACATAGATAGATGTTAATTGAAAATCTATTTAAAAGGCAAGTTATTACATAACAATTGTATTTTTATATTTATTTAGCATAAAAATTATTTATTTATTAAATCGCATTTGGTTTCGATTTTATAAAGCAATGAAACAAATCAATATTAAACGTCAGTTGAGATATATTTTAATGAACTGCTTCAAAGAAAATAATAAAATTTCGTAGATAATCAAGATTTTCACTAAAAACGAAATCTTAAAAGTAAGTTAAATCATGAGTCTTTTTCTTTTAATTTTCCACTCTACAAAAATTTATCCAGTTTAAATAGAATGTAGAAATTGCAAATGAATTAAATATTTTATAATTACAATTTTTTATATTTTATTAAATAAATTAAATTTTAAATTTCTTCTAATTTAGTAAATAAATATCTTAATTAGTGATGCGTTAATAATTAACCACTTTACTATCACAGAGAGCTTTACTTTGTCTTTAATGAATCTCATAGTGAAAACGAATACAAGACAGATCATTTAATACATTAATTATAACTGCCATGAATTATAATTTGCAACTATAATGAAAATACTTAGTTTTTTTCTTAGTAGAAGCCTTGTCGGTTAATTTTCTACTTTATTCTAGTATTTTGTTCTGTAATTATGAATGAAAAGAGAAACACAGTTTCAGCAGTCTGCCAAAATTTAGAGAGAATTTTCGTCCTTTCGTGGATGCTGCTTTTTTATAAAAACATTTTATTTCCAAAAATGTATTTTTAAATGCTCATAAATTAAAAAGAAAATCACTCTAAAATCACATTTTATTCCTCTCAAAATATTTTTCTCAAAGCATTCTCCTAATAGTTAAAGCCTTTTTGAGCGAATGCCCACTTTAGCTCCTCCCTGTACTCCACCGTTTGCTTGTTAATGTATTTGTTTGCGTGATTGTATGATCATATCAAAATTCAATTGGAGACATTGTCACTTATCTCTCTCTTACTTTTATAATAAGAAGATTCTTATGTATTTTAGAAACACAAATCAAGTAGAAAGACTTCAATTCAAATTTTTTAAAAAATAAGATTTTTCGCTTGATTCTAAAATAAAATATATATCTCAAAAAAATATTTTTATTGACATAATTTTAAGTGATTGCTTTTACATAAATAAAAGAAAATATAAATGCATGAAAACAGAAGTCCTTTTTCTTTTAATTAATTAATTTATTTAATTATTTTATTTAATTATTTTACTTATTTATTTTTAAAAAAAAGAAGATAGTTTTGCCCTACAGCGAATACAAAAGAAAAGCAAAAATGCACCATTCTAAAACGGACAAATCAAAATGCAGTTCCCGTTTTAAAACAATTTCAGTTAAAAATAAACAGATTTTAATTTAACAGAATATTATGCATTTTAAAACTGCATAGTAATGAAATCAGGTGTTATTAAGGCGGTTCTGCTCCTGACATTAGTAATCAATTTAATAAAAAAAATCTCTGTTACGCATATAAATCTTCTTCAAATCGCAAAATTCCGCTGGTTATCATTTCCAAAAGCTTCAAGCACGATCTTTCAAAGTGTGACTGCAGTTTTGCCATCTTATAAAAAATTTTCTGCTAAAGGAAATTTTGTTTACATATTGTTACATATTAGAAGTGTTTCCAAATTTCAGTCCAACCCCTGTACATTATATAACTGTTGAAATTGGAGACAGTTTTTATTTTACTATAGTCTCATATTTTAAAAAATTTTCATGCAAATGTTTTAATTTATCATGTAAATGTTTAAAAAATCGGATTCGAATTAAATTATACATTTCTGCACGTCAGCTGATGAGTCTTGAACTACTAACTAAATTCTTTTTTTTTTTACAGCATTGAACATATTGAACATTTTTTATACCCCTTCGCAATTTTTCTAGATATTACAGTTTTGTAAAAAAACTAAATGTAACGTAAAGCAAAAAGAAAAAAAATACCATTGAAAGCACATAAAGCAAATTGAAATTTAAGTAGCTTTACAGTCGCATTCCCTCGGCCAGCAGATCAATGTGCAGGGTATTTTTTGCCTCCATAAATCTCGGACTTAGTTTAAATTCTTTAATTCCATAGTAATCTCTATTCAAATTTTAACAAACACATACACGCGTATATATATATATATATATATATATATATATATGTTAACATTAAGCATATCCTAGGATCCTAGGAGTGGGATATGTTTTGCGGAGCACTACATGCACCGCGGAGTATTATTTGAAAAAATTTACACTATAAGTTGGAACATCATATGTAGGCTTACTGTTCAATGTCGATACATCTAATGTTACATTATTTGATGAGCATTAGTTAAAAAATTTTCTCGGTAATATTTTCTCATTTAATAAATCTTATATTTTCCTAAATGTTTTATCTTTTAGTCTATTTGATTCCACTTCTTATAGAGAAACAGATCATCGTTCTTTTTTATTACTAATGTGATCCGTAATACAAACATCTACAACACATACGTTTTTAACAATTGTTTTCAAGGAATAACAAGTAGATTAGTGAAAACAGTTAATATTATATAACATATAATTAAAAACTTCTTGTGTTTCAAAAATTATAACGATGGAAAAAGTATACATGTTATGAGCGCTCAAATATAGATGCCCATTCACAAAGCTCACCAGATACAAAACAGGAAACGTAATTTGAAACAGAAAACGTAAATATGCCAGCGTAAAAAAATGGAAAATAAAGCAAGGAGAAAACGTAACTAGGAAAACCGCCGTAGCTGAGAGAGAAACAGACAGAAAGTGTAATGTAGCCTACTAAAAAATAGAAAATAAAACTACGAAACAAAACACGAAAATTCAAATTAGAGGCAAATCAGGACATCCACGCTCTATAAAGAGGTGGTGAGGAACTTGCTAACAAGGATATATGAATTTTTGTGAGACATTTATATTAATAAAGACATAATTCTTGATCACATTATTTCTCAGAGCTTGAAATATGCCAACATTTTCCACAATCGTGAGAATGAACTCCTATTTGTTAGCGCAGAGCTTGAAACTTATCTAATATAATTTTTGAAGCAAATGAGGTTTTTAAATATGACCGTCCATTATTCATTTAATAAAAACATCATTCCAGGTACTTAAAGATAGTCATCAATTTCTTATCTTATTACGAGTTCATTTAAAGAAACGATTGTCTTTTCACACTCTAATGATAAGTAGGTTAATTTAAGGATCAATTAGCCTCGTTTAACAAAGCTCTTACTAGGAAGGAACCCAACAATAGGGCTGTTTTTTTCTTCAAACAGAGTTCATATTTTTGTTTGATTCGAATTATTTATTTAGCTATAAATTACCAAAAACTATAATTTCTTTTCTTGAATACGTGATAATTTATTCAGCAGTTGAAGTGCTATTAAATACTTATTTACAATTTTTCTCTGTAATCAGAAACTTTGCATTTTAAATTTATTGCATTAAATTGGAATAAAACAAGTGTTTTGAGTAGTTCTCTCATTTTACTAGTATTCATTATGACAGCAATTTATCAGTATTTAGAACAGTCGTTTCAAACTAAATATTTTATAAGAAACCTAAAAACATGATTTTTCTAACTGTATGCGCGAAATATCTCGACGAAATATCTATTGCAAAATTGTTTCTTACCCAATTCAGTAATTCATGTTTCTGCAAAATAGACAAAATATTGTATATGTATAACTGCTTAGCAGGATTTGCGATTACCTTCCTTGTTAGTTCTACACTCGTGAAATAAGACTTTACATAATAACTTCCTTTTTGTATGCCCTGAAAAATAAGTAGCATATTGTAAAATTTTTAAATAAACTTTTCGTAAATTTTACCATTTGAATCTAGCTATTAAGTTTGCACACTAAAGTTTGCTAACAGCAATTGGAAGTTTGATTTCTTCTAATGCATATTAAATTACAATTCTTTATACATAAATAGTCACTATACATATATATATATATATATATATATATATATATTGATTCTTCAAATGGCTCAGGGGATAGAGAGGGNAGTTTACTAACAATAAGGTGTGTGTGTGTGTGTGTATATATATATATATATATATATAATTAATTAAGTGGTCCATTATAGAATTTTCATTACTCAGACTACAAAAAAACTTTTTCAGAAAAAGGAAAATCCAACCTAAACCTTTTCCTAATCTTTTCTTCAAAATCCAAAATCAAATTCTGAGAAATTCAGGATTCTCAACAAATCGGTGCAGTTCTCAAGAGATGAAAGGATAACATAGGTCTTAACTCTAACAGCAGTTAAGTTTAAACTGAACTCTCAAAAAAAGTTTTACAGTAAATTTATAATGCTATCTTGTAACAGGAAGACGTTAAAAATGTACACCAAAAAATGTTTGCTGTTACATTGTTTTTAAAAAGATACTAAGTTTAAAAATAAAAGTTTAAATAGGACGGTCTTTAACAAATAGCAGCGATGGAATTTTTTATTATTATATGAAAGATTCCTTAGAGAGGCAATGGACCAAAAAATACAAAACCGTACTATTATTTTAATGCAAAATAGATTTAAAAAATACTTTTCAAATTGTTTTTATGAAATATTTTTGTAGAAAAATACCATTTTTTCTTACACGTGAATTATAGTAAAGTAAATAATTTTTTACATAAATTTATTGCTTAAAGTAATCTTAGTGGAAAAATAAGTGTTCAGTTTTAATCAATAGAAAAGTATAGTGAAAATAGTTTATGCATATAATATCAATAAAGTTCAGCTGCTGCAAACGTTAAGTTCGTAACCTGAAAGTTTATAAATAATGATTAATAATCGTTTATAAATCATTTGAGTAATCATTTTGTAAAGCGTTTCTTCATTCTAAAGTTGTTAGCTCGAGAAATTTAATGCATTTGATAATTTGGCTTTTGAGTCTAATTATCTATAGAATACTTGGCTAATCATAATCATTTTCCTGGAAAAAAAAAAGCAGAAAATACCTCATTTATATTTCAGACTGTCAACTAGACAGTCTGCATGTAATTGCAAAAAATCTCATTAAATTTCTGGTCACATATGTCGGAGATATTCTTATTTAACCTTTGAAGGATATGAATGAATGCTGTTTCTAAATGGAGTTCCCAAGGGTTCCGTGGAAGAGTTATTTTAGAAATTCAATTATTTTTTCACTCTTATTTGACCAATATATAGGACAATATTTGGTGAATTTTTTCACTTAAAATGCAATATTTTTTCTGTGCGTATGCCTTTACAAAGAGATTGTTCATTTAAAAATATTATTGGATTTTCCCTCGCGGGTCGGAGATTTTAATTATATTGAAATATTGTAAAAAAATTCGATCCAAGTATGCTTTCGGACATCCTATTATTTGAGTCAGGGCATTTTGCTTCATGCTACACTATATAAATATCCACCTATACACTATGAAAAAGTTTATTAACTTCAACTAGTTGCCTTTTTTTCTGAAAAATGGAGCTATTTTATCACATTTACTTTCTTTTAGGCAACATGTTTTTAGGTATAAACTATTATATATATATANTATATATATATATATATATATATATTGCTCTAAAAAACAAAAAGGGTAGATAAAAAGAAAAGAGAGAAAACCGAAGTAAACTAAAAAAATTCATTTAAAAAAATATTAAATGCCTGAAAACTAAATAATGAAAAGATATAATCTCGTCATTAGCTCACGAACATTTGTGAAAAGGGGTGCTTTCTAATATTGTATTAATATAGTCAAAGCAAAATATAACAATACAATAGTGTGAGCAGTACTCAAAAGAATTGAAGTGAAAATAGAACATATTAAATAAAAAATATACGAAATAAAACATATGAAGCAAAAAACAGAAAATGAAATGTAAGAATAATACAGAACAAGACATAAACGTAATCTATAAAGCGAATTGCGAATTCAAATGAACTTACACGCACCAGAATGTTTCAAGAATGATTTAACATATTTTCGTAATAAGATTGCCAGTTTACAAAATATGAAAATAGAAGTGCGAAGCGTAAATAGAGAAATCTTTTATGGCACGTTCTTACTGCAGTACTGAAGTGCGTCTGATTTGTTAGTTACCTTGGATTGCCCCGAAAAAAAATGTGCGCAAGTTAATAATATAATACTGGATAATTTAAAGTTTATAATTAATAAGGTTGATATTTAATTATACAATTTTAGTGATTTTAGTAAATTAACATTTATTTAAAGAATGAAAAAAACATGAGTTGCCCGGTTTGCACAGATTTCCAGTCACGGATTTGCAATAATTGGATTTGCTCATGGTTAAAATATATATTCAGTTAATAAAGAATGTTTTCGTAAATTTATTAATAATAATAACATGCAATTAACTCAATGACTTTATATAGAACTTATTTACATTAGTTGGCGGGTATCCATTGTTTAATAAAATTTTGAAAGAGTTTGTCAATTTTTTTTTTTTTTTTTGGATAAATAAACATTACTACATATTCTTCTAATTCTATTCATTCGATTAAAAATTGCATTTAAATAAATGTTATTAGAAACATTAGAATTTAAAGCAATTAGTTTATTTATATTAATATCAAAATCATTTTTTATGGTATAAATCAACGATGCAGATAGTTTCTTTTTTTTAATACTTAAGTCGAAAAAGTTAAATTTTATATTATCATTATGTTTACGAGGTAAAATTAATTCCCCTGGCTAAATATAATTTAACAAAATTGTATAATCTTGAAAATAAAATGTAATTAAATCATTAATAATTCGAAAAACAAATTCAATATTAAGAGTAATTTTTTCTCATAATAGTGTAAAAATAATTTAGATAAGAGAGATGAAAAATTAGATCCTCCTGGTATTCCATCAATTTGAATAAAAATATGATTTCCAACGTAAAGATAATTATTAAAAAGACAAAAATTAATTGGATTTTCCCAATATCAAAATCGCTACTAAGGATTAATTAATTAGACTTTCCCTATTCAAAATTGCTATTAAGGATATTTTTAAAATCATAGCAATAACTCAGAATCTTTCAGCTTAGAAATGGGAATGCTAATGAAGTGATCCTGGAAATCAAAAGTCGCAATGGAATTAATTTTATTTTGTTTTATAAATTCTAAAATCGGTTGATTATTAGTGATAACCCAAGAAAAACCTTCTTAATTAATATTGTTAATAAGTTTATTTAAATAGTTAGAGAAAATTGTGCCAGCTTTAGTTAGGCAAGCATTAGACCCTCATGTCATTAATCTAAATTGTATACAATTTGGACTGTCTGGAAATTTTGGACTTATAATTAAGTAAGGAGATTGTACATTGTTAATTTTAATCTTCAACCTCTTATATAAGGCTAATTTTTTTAATGATAATATTATTTAAATTACTAAGCATAAATTTTTTTTTATTATTTTTTAACTCCTTATTAAAAGTTCAAAGTAGATTTTTTTACAGAAGTTTTCATAACTCTTGTTATAGCTTTGTCCATAAGGATAATTACAACATTTTTTGTAGCTGCTTAATTAATCGATCAATTTAAAAAAAATGTTGAATTGTTATTGTAATTTAAATTTTCCTTTTTATTCAAAACAAAGTTTTCAAAGTAATAATAAACAGCCAATTTCCATTCTGTTGACGTACCTAAAGGTAAAGATAATTTGTTTGATACTTTTAAGCAAAAATTACTGAGATCATTAAGAAAGTATTTTAGAATTATATTAATTGATATATGGTAAATGGGTCTAAATTTGTGCCTTTTATCATTAAATTCCCAAGCTCTAAGTTTTCTATAATATTCATTAAATTACCAGTAATTATATGTTTATGATGTTTATCAACAAATTCAAAATATTTCTCTTTTTCTCATTGATATTCATAATAGGATATAGTGATTTTCTCTACATTTTTGTTAAAATCATTATAATTAAAAACAGTTCTTCCAAGAGGTTTATTATATTTAAAGCTTTGGATTATATTAAAATCATTAAATGAAAATGAAATTTTTAAATTTTCAAAAATATTATAAAATTTAATCTTATCGAAAGTAGGGTTTTAAAAGTTAATAACGAAATATAAATTATCTAAATGTTTCATTTCATAAGACTAAATTTTACTCATATTAGCCTTTATAAGATCGAAATAAGGAATTTTGAAGTGTAAATTAATAAAAGAAAAACTAATAATAAGATATTGAAGCTTATATAAATCATTATTCTTAAGGGCGAAAACGAAATCTTTCATTGGTTTAATTTTATAATGTTTATTAAAATCTTCTTCATATTAGAAATAAAATTTATATTTAATTTGACACTATTAAGAGAATTTTTAAGATTCCCATTTACCTAGATTTACCTTTAATACGAAAAAGTGAGAAGTTATTAAAGTTAATCTGTGTATATTGGAAGGAATCGTTTAGCCTAAATGAATGGCAAAATTGTTCTGTATAAAAACATGTAGTATTTTCTTTTTGTTGTCTTAAATTGATATCTTATACTATATATAAAATATTAATTTTAACACTGTTGAAATTATGTAGACTAAAAGGATTAAGTTCTCGGTTATTAATAATTTTATTATTGTTGAAATATAAACAGTATAAACAATATAAATAGTATTGTTGAAATATAAACATATCGTTGAAATATAAACAGTAATTAAATTATCAATAACCTAGAATTAAATCAGTTTAGAGTGCTTAATCTTAACAGTGTTAAAATTAATATTTTATATATAGTAGAAAATATCGATTTAAGACTACACAAGTAAAATTGCTGCATGCTTTTATAC